AGCTTTGGATTCATCTAATAAGTGAAGTTTTACGAATCGTTTTCTAAGAATTTTGGAATTTTTATTTACGGAATTCATTATCAAATACATCCATTAACGACATCAGTATTAAATTTATAAGATTAAAATTATTTTTTTATGAAGACACATTAGAAGTTTAGATTTTGTATTTTTTTTAATGATAAGACTTATACTCGCTTGATTATAATAATTCAAATTTAATTTTGCTAACAACCAATCAGCTATTTAATAAAAATTGTAAAATTAAGAAACCACATCCTTTAGTTATTGTTGTCGTTATTTCTATTTATAGAAAAACAAAACATTTAGACATTCGGAAATGGAAAATCTCCATGAATAACACCACTCACGAAATTTCGTTTATTCCTGTTCTATTTTAAATAACTAATTTAGAGGGAGTTATCCAGGCGTCGACGATTACATTTTAGCCTTAACTGCGATTAAAGACTTCGATATATTCACATTTAACATGTCACAGCGACGACTTGACAAATTGATTCAGATCAGCGGGATGCCCGACATCTTTCGCCACCCAGTGTTTCCAGCTTTGTATAAAAACCGTGTTAAATTCCACCAACCCCCACATCAACAATGTCTCCCAACAGTGCAGTCTCCTGTAGTTCGGTGTTAGTTGTGATCATAGTTCTATTAGTGGAAATAACCACTTATACATGTGGCGATGTCGATCAAATGGTAGATGCTAAAATTCCAGACGACAATTACCACCAATATCAACAGGGAACGAAGAAGAACTTCGCGTTGTGGTTTGGACCACGACTGGGCCGAAGAAAAAGAAACTTTGAAGATGAAGCACGAGTCGCAGAAGAGTTTCAGGAGGCCATGAAACTACTAAAAGAACGACCTTGGATCATTATTGCAATAGATAAGAAAGTTGATGATTATACACCACGGCTCGGAAGGGAATCTGGGGAAGAAAAAAGGGAAGAACTGTCGACGCCGCCATTTGCCCCTAGACTAGGACGACGACTCTTACCGTTCAATCCCAGACTTGGGAGAGGAAATTATTTATTTTAAATTAATGAATTCATAATCTGATATTTTAGCAGTTTGTAATTAGCAAATAAAATGTTGTAAATACACGTGCATAAGTGAAATTAATAATTAATAAGCGAAACTGAATCCCATTAACAATTTTCAGGTTTATGAGTTAAGTAAAAGGGATGTGTTGTGAATACTTCCTACAAGAAATAGCGATTGACGAAACACATAATTAAAAAATGAAATTTAGTTAAATTCTAATAAAATACAAACAAATACTTCTTTTAGTAGCTTTTGAAACCTAAAAGATTTTACACACAATAAATCAAATTTAATTTTAGATAATTACTAGCTTTTCCCCGCGGCTTCGCTCGCAGAAATTAATATTGTTTCTCCATAAAACCTTTTAACTCCCAATTCACCCATGCAACGTCTTAATTTTATGTAATGTCGCCATCTTAGATTTCAAATACAAACGTAGCAAGAACATTTCATCCTTAAGGGTTGATTATTTAAAATTGCCAAAACACGTATTTGCTTAATTTCAACAATGAGTAACCTGTAAATCCGAGTACAAATAAAACATACCCTATGGAAACGTTGCAATTTCTTTTCATTTGATTAATAATATCAAACATAAAGTATGTCCGAAACAAAAATAGTAACACCTTACCCCCCCCCTCTTGGAGGTTGAATTTTTTAAAATGTAGAGATAAGTCTTTCAGAAATTGAATGAGAGACCATTAAGACAAACTTTCAAGTAAATCTGACGACAAATAATATATGTTTCATTTAAACATTGCAACTCCCCTTTACCACTCCTACCCCAAAGGAACGGGATAAAAAGTATCCCATATCCGTTTCCTGATTGTAAGCTACCTCCTCACCAATTTTCAGCCAAATCGGTTCAGCCGTTCTTGAGTTATAAATAGTGTAACTAACACGACTATCTTTTATATATCTATATACGATATAGATAATAGAACTTATATTACCATTATCATTAATAAAATTCATTTTTTAACTACTACGTTAGCTTATTTTGCGTTGATAATAAATTTTCTTCGTAATACCTACTGAAAAACTAAAATCTTCAAGAGATAACTATTGCGTGCATCGATTGGAAACGTTTCAATAAATAATAATTCAATTATCTACCCGTTCGTCTATATAATAGATTTAAAGCTACTAGGCACATCCTGACTTCGGAAGGTTCGATAGTTAGTTCCGGAATATATTATCTAGTACTTCCGGGCATGCGCTGTAATTTTAGAAACCCTAAACTCATCTCGTTCGGACACGATTCGATAGATGCGAGGGTGCGCAGCATCTCGATGACTAACCCTGACCAGCTTGCACAAGCGATTAAATAAACACAAAGGGATGACGAAATGCATCCATATACCGAATGGAATTTATAGAAGACATGCCTCATGCAGTGTATGGGTTTCATGTGACAAATAAGGGGCATGCCGATAAAGGGATTTCTCCTTAGATCTCTCATTAGTACCTCACAATAGAAATCAGCGATACTTAAGTGAGGTAAACCTCTTGTAAAAAACCGGGGAATTCCATCACCTGCTTTATGGGGGTAGGACTAAGCAAAGGGAGTCTTTGTAGGCAAAATTATCTGGTGGTGGAATGTACTTCAAAATCACCATTTGGTATAATAATCGGATTGATTCTTCCAAAAGTTTTCTAAACGAGGTAGCGAATGATGCAAGGCGTATATACCTTTTATGCCCTTTATACAGTAGTCTGTCGGGGTCTACACGAAGCAATTTGGCTAACCTCGTGGGGACCTTAACAATCCACCTCTCAAAGTCCTAATTCAACAAAAATATATTTGAAGCATATAAACTATAAAATTCAATGTGGTCACCTTTCCTTTTTTTTTTAAGAAAAACCGAGACAATTACTCTAATAGTTTCTAATTAAATTCTAAGTATTGTGTTTGAATCATTCACACAGTTGTCAGCACATTTGCAGTCAACAAAGTGACTTTTTCATACATTCTCTTCATAGTGATGCGTTAAAGCTGCAAGGCTCTTTATTGGACAGTTTCTAAAGGTTCACAAGAAGAAGCAGTGTGGCTAACTTCGTGAGGACCTTAGCTCTAGTTTCTAATTGTTTACTAAGTATTGTGTTTGCATCTTTCCGCAATTTTTCAGTCAACACAATAGCTTTTTCACACAATCTATTCATAGTGAACCGTGAATGAGGCAAGGCGTTTATGTATACCCTTTGTGTGCTTTCTAGGTCAGCCACACGAGGAATGTTGGTAACCTTGTAGGGATCCTAATATTTCTGATGCAAATAAATTACAAAATCCAGTACAAAATTCTTTTTCGTATTTTAAAGAACAACGGAGATAATTAGTCCTGTATTTTTCATTTGTTTACTAAGTATTGCGTTTGCATTATTTATCGAGTTTTTCGCAAATTTGGAGTCAATACGAAAGCTTTTCTGTAGTTTTTCCAATGCTCACCTGGGGGTATTTTTTTATGACGTAAATTTTCAAAAGTAAAACTACTTAGTTGTTTTACAGATTTAATCAAATAGACGATAAATATTTTCTTAAAAATTGGAAGGCGTTTTTAAATGTCTTTCGAAGTAGCTTTAGTGCAGTTGTGTCATTTGCTGGGATCGGACTTTTCTCGTGGCGATTTGCGACTGCATTTCCACGTTTTCCCGTTAGCGAGCGTAATCTGTCTACGCTCGTAGCGTTCCGATTTTTCTCGTAATCGTTCGCCGCCGTACTCGCTGTTGCACTTCGTCTACTTAGCCGCAGAAAACAATAATAAAAGCCAATATAGCTTGTTTGTTGTACCTCCTACCGGTCTAATTGTTGCCTGGGACGCGCAATTTTCAATTAGTATACGTGCAAGTAACCGAAATGACGGAAGTTCGGACAAAAACTAACGAATTAAACAGTGCGGACGCCACCCAACAAGGGTTGAACGATAGTGCCATCCCCAACAGCGCTGGTTAGTAGTTTACTTGTTCTTTTTTTCATTAGGTACTCTCTTTTTGCGCTGGTGTTTTTCAATTATTACCTATCTGCATCAAGTGAAAAGCGAATATTTTTTTTTTAATTTTTGATCTAGCAAGAAAATATATGTTAAATTAACCACCAAAGATATCTGATGGTTTATGTTTTGGTTTGATGTTTTGAAATGGTATTGATTACCAACGTAGATCATGTTATCGACTGAAGAACGGAGAAATGTATTTTTCAGGAAAACATCCCTGCTTTCCAACCCGATTTAACCTAATAAAACGATTGTTTACAGGTACTACAACAATACATAAGGTATCTAATGAATAAATATGTTATAAAATTTAAAATATATGTCAACGTAATCGACAATTACTACCCTTATACCAGAAAATAGTTATTTAGAAAAGTAAATACGTTATTTATAATTTGCTTCCTTTGAAAATTTTAAATAAACTTTGTAACTAATTGTAAAGTTAAAAATTATGAATACCGTAACTAAAAATAAACAAGAAAAACTCGTTTATTATACCGTTTGCGTTAATTGAAGGTAAATGTGTTGGTTAAAAAAATGTTAAAATAAAAAACATTTGTACATTTTCGCCCGCTAGACATTTGCATAGATAAATATGTACACTACAGTATGAAGATTGTTCTTCACTTTTGAAATAGACCATAGTTTCCTAGGTCATTTTTAGTTACTCTGATGGTGTGCTTAAACTCTCGTGTGTATGTATACCTTTTAAAAACATATTTGTTTAACAACGTGATAGGTTTGACGTAGAAAGTCATTTCCATTTGTAATAAAGTACAGTTCGTACGGTATATGCTGGCAAACTTTTATATATGTATATTATAAACACTTCTTTTTAAATATTTCCCAATAAAATAGNAACTTCAGCAACAAAAGCCAACTTTTTAGATTTTATAAATCAATAATCATTTTCTGAATTTATTTGCAAATACTATTTAAAACAATTCACTTAGGTATTGGATTCATTTTTTGAAAGAAAGCACCCTGAACTATCTACTTCAATCAAAAATCTAATTCGTGAATTACTTTTTTTTATCGAACATTAATTACCACTAGTAAATACCTTCCCTAAGTGACAAGTTTTTAAGTGCAATATTAATTTAATGAAATTTGAACTATTTTGTAATTAATCAAAGTCCTGCTCAATTTATGTACTAAAGAAGAACTCCACTTAGTTATAAAAATGAGATTTGGAAGCCCAATTTTTTTTACTAAAAATTGTTATAGTTAATGAGAAATATCCTTTCCTACTAAAAAAATTGTTTTCTTGAGAGAAATACTATTGCAGTACCTGATGCTATAAAAAATCCTTTTTACTAATAAAATTAATCACCATAAACTTAAAAAAAATCATACATTTCTTCTGCAAAATCTATATAAATATTAACCGAATAGTTTAACTTAATCCTAAGTGGACTTACCATTACGCGCTTATATTAAGTTAAATGCACCAGAGTGTAACTGATTAAAATGAGACCGATCGATAACCGGCGAATCTTTTATAGGGTTGTGGCCAAATCTGGTGTGCAACGATCCAACCAAACGACACTTTTAATTGAGCTTATTATAGACATGCAAATAACTAACAGCATCTATTTAAAAGCACATGCCTATCAGACTAACTATCTTTCGACAGGCATCACTCTCTTCTTCAAGCCAATGAAAAAAATATCGCCACACACGTACCTAATACATATGCAATATTGAAGTTAAGAAAAACATAAATTAAATGTTAATTATAGTGTTTTTGTAACAAAGCTCAGGGGAAAATTTAGTATTTTCTTTGGTTGAAAAGACTATATAGAATTGAAAAAAATTACTTATGAAGCCTGGTTGTCACTGAAATAAAAATTGGGATGCTGGAGCGAGATCGAGACTAAAACGTTTCGTTTATGCAATAATATAATAATAATTGAAAATATTAAACAATACCATTACTTATAACAGAAAAAAAGCAACTTAATATTACCAAAGGTGGCATGGATTAAGAAGATGAAAAATAAATAAGAATGTGACAATTTTAGATCAGAAAGCAAAGTAATTCATATCTTTAGGATACGGCCGGGTACCGCATAATGAAACCGGGTACCCGGATACAGTGAAAAGAAGGAAAACCAACACCATCGATAATAATTTAATAAGTACTTGTAACAAAAAACCTGCCTAATTTATAATATATTATTTATTGATTACTATAGTAAATTATTTGTTATTTAGATATACAGTGGAATTCGTTTATTATGACTCCGCCTATATTGGCCAACCGCTTAATACGAAGTAATTGCAGTGTTAAGTTTGGTTTTCATATTGAATTCTTTGCAGGAAAGTTTGGATGTAATGACTCCGTTTAAAATATCGTTTATTATGACTGATTCTCAAGAAATCATATCCGCCTATAGTGACCCAAATGATTAATAATAACATTTTCGCTCATTTTTCTGACCCTTTTTCTGTATATTGATATTACAATTAATCGTTCTTTTTCTTTTTCTGTTAATAAATGTATACAATTTGTAGTTTTTCTCTCTATTAAACAAAAAAAATTAACCAAAATAGAAAGTTGTTTATTCTCTAAGACTATGCTTTGTAAGACGCCGGCTTAGTATGACGTATTTGTCATTTCCATTTGATGTCATTATAAGCGGATTCTGTTGCAGTTTTTAAATGACTTTTTGAACGGAACCTAATGTGGCTTGGGATGTTGGTATTAATTCAATACGCGACTAAATAATTGAAGGTTTCGAAAACTAAAACTGAACCTTTGAATGCCCGACGACAAATGGTAGACTGAATAGAAATTATATATATATATATCACTTGAATTATTCAATTAAACTGCAATTAATTACAGTGATTGCTCTCGAGCATGTGCCAGAACATATTACATGATTATTAAACCGAGAAATATTTTCGGTTGCATCAGTTATGTCTTTGTTATGCCAACCATAGCGAAACAGTTTCGCTCGGTCAACAAATTCATCAGTTAGATGTTGTAAACATGTTCTAAAACAAAAAAAAAAGTAAGTCCGGCCCCTTTACCAAATAATATGAAGCTTCTATTTAAATCTTATAGAAAATTTCCCTCTATGTACTAAACTAAGGGAAAAAAGAAAATTGTATTTTTTTCTATACAAAAATAGAAAGCGATGTTTTTGAATGAAAAGAATCCATGTAACAAATTGGTATCATTTTGATATGTGTCAATTTTATTTTGTAAAAGTCGATGTGTCTTGATTTACGTTGTCACTGATGTTGGGGGTATCTAACATATAATAAATGATGTTAAATCGACTAAATCAGTTGGAGACTTTAATATTCTATACCACCTAAAGCTTCAAGTTCCTTATATAAACTGGAAAAATTCTCAAACGTACCAAAGCAACAATGATGTTTAACAAAGTTGCATCTCATAGCACAAGCCTTATTGTTATTTTTCTTCTGCTCAATGACTTATGTATCGGAGCTGAGAGTGAAGCAGCTGCAGACGGTGAACGCGAAATACAGCAATTCCACAACGGTAAGAAGTTTGCATTGTGGTTTGGACCAAGATTGGGAAGGAAGAAGAGACATGAAGATGACGAGGCGATTGCCAAAGAAGAAATGGACGCTGTAATGAAACTCGTGAAAGAAACACCATGGGCTGTTGTGGCATTAAACAATGGTAAAAGGAGACAATTGATTGACTACATCCCTAGAAGAGGAAGAGAATCTGGAGAAGATTCAGAGATGCTGTCAAGAATTGGAAGACAATTTGATTTTAGACCGAGGCTGGGTCGGGAAAAGTACATCTACCCAGAGTAAGTTTTTTAAAATAACAGAATGTGTTAGTAAATTGTACGTTCTCATAACAATAAAAAGGTGATATTAACTTATATTATTGTCTTTTACTTATACAAGTCATTTCTGTACCTAGGTATATAGTTTTAGTTTTTAATTCAAAGTATTCGTTTCTTTATTTAAAGATATCGATTCAGTAACTGCATTCAGTTTCTAATTAGATTTCCGGTTGGAAATGCTCCACGGTTCGAACAATGTATTAAGTTTTCAATTAAGTGGCTTTTCACCTAAATCCTTAAAAAGCTCGGCGACTATTTCAATTGCAAATTGCTGTAGAAATACGTTCAAAATGGGAAAATTTCAAAAAATTTCGTAGTGTTGTTTTAAATTATATTTTCGCAAAGAAATTTAAAAAAAAACGTTATTTTTTAATTATTAATTGAAAGTCAACGTTAAAAAATGAAGTCGAAACTGATTGAATGATTGGTAATTTTTCAAAAGTGCTAATCTTTTTATATTTTTTTATTTTACTCATGTAATCAAGAAGGAGTAGTAGGAGACACTTAGAGATGTCAAAAATACTTTTTTGATTTATTATTTCAGGTGTAAAATATAAAATAGATTTCCCTTTTGTATTTTATGGGCAAAATGCAAAATACGTATTTTCAAAATACTTTTTTTTTTGTAGTAACTTTTGAATTTTCTACATTTACTTAAGTATAAAATATTTTTTAAGAAAACTTTGCAGGCATTTGCTTGCTTATTTTTTAAACATTGGAGTTTTTCTAGACTAATAGTGGTGTTTGCACTATATCACCAGCTGCGAATATTGAGTATGATTCATATTTTTCTGTTTGAAGTGATTGAGATAGAGTTATTCTATCTTTATGTCATAGTATTTTCAGTTCAGTAACAAATAATTCTTCTATATGCTTCCTTATTTGCCTTTGTCACCTGCTTTAATTGGAAAAAAGACACTGATGCCAAAATAGTTTGTTTAGCGTGAAAGATCGGAGGTAAAATAGGGTTGCAAATAATTTTATTGGTGTAAAATCGATATCAATAATTTTATATCAAAATATTTACAACCCTATTTTGTTTCCAATCTTTTACACATTATAATAAGAGAAAGAAATGGAATCCAGTTTCTTTAGCTTTGGGTTCACCTAATGAGCGAAGTTTCTCGAATCGTTTTCTAAGAATTTTGGATAGGTAATATGCATTTATTAGCACACCACAATATCTTGTAGTTTTCAGTTCGATATTGTTTTGTGAGCTAGTTTGTCGTAATTCGTAATTCATGGAATTTCGTAGTTTCTTGTTAAAGATAGGATAAGTGGTGATTTAGCAGGTGCTAATATCAATTTAGAACTTCAAAATTCNAGTTATTGTTGTCGTTATTTCTATTTATAGAAAAACAAAACATTTAGACATTCGGAAATGGAAAATCTCCATGAATAACACCACTCACGAAATTTCGTTTATTCCTGTTCTATTTTAAATAACTAATTTAGAGGGAGTTATCCAGGCGTCGACGATTACATTTTAGCCTTAACTGCGATTAAAGACTTCGATATATTCACATTTAACATGTCACAGCGACGACTTGACAAATTGATTCAGATCAGCGGGATGCCCGACATCTTTCGCCACCCAGTGTTTCCAGCTTTGTATAAAAACCGTGTTAAATTCCACCAACCCCCACATCAACAATGTCTCCCAACAGTGCAGTCTCCTGTAGTTCGGTGTTAGTTGTGATCATAGTTCTATTAGTGGAAATAACCACTTATACATGTGGCGATGTCGATCAAATGGTAGATGCTAAAATTCCAGACGACAATTACCACCAATATCAACAGGGAACGAAGAAGAACTTCGCGTTGTGGTTTGGACCACGACTGGGCCGAAGAAAAAGAAACTTTGAAGATGAAGCACGAGTCGCAGAAGAGTTTCAGGAGGCCATGAAACTACTAAAAGAACGACCTTGGATCATTATTGCAATAGATAAGAAAGTTGATGATTATACACCACGGCTCGGAAGGGAATCTGGGGAAGAAAAAAGGGAAGAACTGTCGACGCCGCCATTTGCCCCTAGACTAGGACGACGACTCTTACCGTTCAATCCCAGACTTGGGAGAGGAAATTATTTATTTTAAATTAATGAATTCATAATCTGATATTTTAGCAGTTTGTAATTAGCAAATAAAATGTTGTAAATACACGTGCATAAGTGAAATTAATAATTAATAAGCGAAACTGAATCCCATTAACAATTTTCAGGTTTATGAGTTAAGTAAAAGGGATGTGTTGTGAATACTTCCTACAAGAAATAGCGATTGACGAAACACATAATTAAAAAATGAAATTTAGTTAAATTCTAATAAAATACAAACAAATACTTCTTTTAGTAGCTTTTGAAACCTAAAAGATTTTACACACAATAAATCAAATTTAATTTTAGATAATTACTAGCTTTTCCCCGCGGCTTCGCTCGCAGAAATTAATATTGTTTCTCCATAAAACCTTTTAACTCCCAATTCACCCATGCAACGTCTTAATTTTATGTAATGTCGCCATCTTAGATTTCAAATACAAACGTAGCAAGAACATTTCATCCTTAAGGGTTGATTATTTAAAATTGCCAAAACACGTATTTGCTTAATTTCAACAATGAGTAACCTGTAAATCCGAGTACAAATAAAACATACCCTATGGAAACGTTGCAATTTCTTTTCATTTGATTAATAATATCAAACATAAAGTATGTCCGAAACAAAAATAGTAACACCTTACCCCCCCCCTCTTGGAGGTTGAATTTTTTAAAATGTAGAGATAAGTCTTTCAGAAATTGAATGAGAGACCATTAAGACAAACTTTCAAGTAAATCTGACGACAAATAATATATGTTTCATTTAAACATTGCAACTCCCCTTTACCACTCCTACCCCAAAGGAACGGGATAAAAAGTATCCCATATCCGTTTCCTGATTGTAAGCTACCTCCTCACCAATTTTCAGCCAAATCGGTTCAGCCGTTCTTGAGTTATAAATAGTGTAACTAACACGACTATCTTTTATATATCTATATACGATATAGATAATAGAACTTATATTACCATTATCATTAATAAAATTCATTTTTTAACTACTACGTTAGCTTATTTTGCGTTGATAATAAATTTTCTTCGTAATACCTACTGAAAAACTAAAATCTTCAAGAGATAACTATTGCGTGCATCGATTGGAAACGTTTCAATAAATAATAATTCAATTATCTACCCGTTCGTCTATATAATAGATTTAAAGCTACTAGGCACATCCTGACTTCGGAAGGTTCGATAGTTAGTTCCGGAATATATTATCTAGTACTTCCGGGCATGCGCTGTAATTTTAGAAACCCTAAACTCATCTCGTTCGGACACGATTCGATAGATGCGAGGGTGCGCAGCATCTCGATGACTAACCCTGACCAGCTTGCACAAGCGATTAAATAAACACAAAGGGATGACGAAATGCATCCATATACCGAATGGAATTTATAGAAGACATGCCTCATGCAGTGTATGGGTTTCATGTGACAAATAAGGGGCATGCCGATAAAGGGATTTCTCCTTAGATCTCTCATTAGTACCTCACAATAGAAATCAGCGATACTTAAGTGAGGTAAACCTCTTGTAAAAAACCGGGGAATTCCATCACCTGCTTTATGGGGGTAGGACTAAGCAAAGGGAGTCTTTGTAGGCAAAATTATCTGGTGGTGGAATGTACTTCAAAATCACCATTTGGTATAATAATCGGATTGATTCTTCCAAAAGTTTTCTAAACGAGGTAGCGAATGATGCAAGGCGTATATACCTTTTATGCCCTTTATACAGTAGTCTGTCGGGGTCTACACGAAGCAATTTGGCTAACCTCGTGGGGACCTTAACAATCCACCTCTCAAAGTCCTAATTCAACAAAAATATATTTGAAGCATATAAACTATAAAATTCAATGTGGTCACCTTTCCTTTTTTTTTTAAGAAAAACCGAGACAATTACTCTAATAGTTTCTAATTAAATTCTAAGTATTGTGTTTGAATCATTCACACAGTTGTCAGCACATTTGCAGTCAACAAAGTGACTTTTTCATACATTCTCTTCATAGTGATGCGTTAAAGCTGCAAGGCTCTTTATTGGACAGTTTCTAAAGGTTCACAAGAAGAAGCAGTGTGGCTAACTTCGTGAGGACCTTAGCTCTAGTTTCTAATTGTTTACTAAGTATTGTGTTTGCATCTTTCCGCAATTTTTCAGTCAACACAATAGCTTTTTCACACAATCTATTCATAGTGAACCGTGAATGAGGCAAGGCGTTTATGTATACCCTTTGTGTGCTTTCTAGGTCAGCCACACGAGGAATGTTGGTAACCTTGTAGGGATCCTAATATTTCTGATGCAAATAAATTACAAAATCCAGTACAAAATTCTTTTTCGTATTTTAAAGAACAACGGAGATAATTAGTCCTGTATTTTTCATTTGTTTACTAAGTATTGCGTTTGCATTATTTATCGAGTTTTTCGCAAATTTGGAGTCAATACGAAAGCTTTTCTGTAGTTTTTCCAATGCTCACCTGGGGGTATTTTTTTATGACGTAAATTTTCAAAAGTAAAACTACTTAGTTGTTTTACAGATTTAATCAAATAGACGATAAATATTTTCTTAAAAATTGGAAGGCGTTTTTAAATGTCTTTCGAAGTAGCTTTAGTGCAGTTGTGTCATTTGCTGGGATCGGACTTTTCTCGTGGCGATTTGCGACTGCATTTCCACGTTTTCCCGTTAGCGAGCGTAATCTGTCTACGCTCGTAGCGTTCCGATTTTTCTCGTAATCGTTCGCCGCCGTACTCGCTGTTGCACTTCGTCTACTTAGCCGCAGAAAACAATAATAAAAGCCAATATAGCTTGTTTGTTGTACCTCCTACCGGTCTAATTGTTGCCTGGGACGCGCAATTTTCAATTAGTATACGTGCAAGTAACCGAAATGACGGAAGTTCGGACAAAAACTAACGAATTAAACAGTGCGGACGCCACCCAACAAGGGTTGAACGATAGTGCCATCCCCAACAGCGCTGGTTAGTAGTTTACTTGTTCTTTTTTTCATTAGGTACTCTCTTTTTGCGCTGGTGTTTTTCAATTATTACCTATCTGCATCAAGTGAAAAGCGAATATTTTTTTTTTAATTTTTGATCTAGCAAGAAAATATATGTTAAATTAACCACCAAAGATATCTGATGGTTTATGTTTTGGTTTGATGTTTTGAAATGGTATTGATTACCAACGTAGATCATGTTATCGACTGAAGAACGGAGAAATGTATTTTTCAGGAAAACATCCCTGCTTTCCAACCCGATTTAACCTAATAAAACGATTGTTTACAGGTACTACANATGAAATGTTAAATAAATTACCGGTAGATATAAATTGTAAAAGAGGCTATTTCAGTATTATGTTGCGCTAAATTTGCTAACGTTTGGTTTCCTCTACCCCCACATCGCAATTTGTTACATAATTAACGACTCTCCTTACAACATTTTCGATTCTTCTCATTTTTCTACTTTATAGAAATAGTATGATAAACATCTTAGTTCGAAAATATAAACTAATCAAAATAGAGATTCACTTATAGCGAGAAGGAAATTTAAAAAGTCGTTTATAACGATCTCTTGCTTATAACGAAGAATATGTTCGACTATAACGAATTAACTACTTGTCGAAAACGAATTACAATAGGTCGTATGTTATCGCCTATAATGACCATTCGTATACAACGAACTAGTTTCATTTTAAATTTCTAACTATTAAATAGAAACAAGAAAGCAAACTGTGTTGTGATTTTAGAGAAAACTTCTCACAAACCTTGATAACAAAATTAAAATTATTCGCACTATCAGTTACGATCTTACCCTATCACATACTTGATTATAAAATAAGATCATAAATCAAATCCCTAAGCATATGTACTGTATATTAAAATATTAATTACAGTAAAGTTTATTAGATTGAAAAAGAAATTCTTGTACCAGGTATTGGGTATAATCGTTATCCATTACACGCATAGTGTAGAAGGTACTGGTTCGAAGTAGAACTAATTTTGTTTTAAAATAAGTAGATCGCAATTATCAAATGTATTTTACAGAATTTCACCGTAAGGCACGACCTGGTACCTGAACTTGTTAGAAACTTAAATGTTTAATTCGAGATAGGTGGGTACAGACGTTTTTCATTTTCTCTGGTCGCATTTTATTTTTGGTGGCTGTAGAGCCTTGAAGTTAAAGTGACTAATCATTATGTTGATGCCAAATTTTAAGGTCTTTCGGACCTACGACATCGGTTACTGTGAGTTTCTTATCTTTATCGTTTATTTTGAAAATTAATTTCCTTTTGGGAATTATCAGAAAATTAAATGAAATTAAAATGTTTNGAAAGTCATTTCCATTTGTAATAAAGTACAGTTCGTACGGTATATGCTGGCAAACTTTTATATATGTATATTATAAACACTTCTTTTTAAATATTTCCCAATAAAATAGTATACGTACTGATACACTTGTACAGTTGTCAAAGTAATTTCACTTTGTACAGCTCATGTTGACGAAGTGACATTGTAGTTAAGATTATGAATAAGAGTCACCAAGAAAGCCAAAAAGAATACAATAATCTTATAGTTAATTTGTTAAACGTACCACGGTGAAAAATTTAAATAATGTTAATATAAAATGTATTCAATGTCCAAATTAGTGATTTCAACAATAAGCGACCATACTGTAATGCATAAACTATACATAACGCGTACCCATGCGAGATAGACTTAATCGCAAAGTAAATTATTATGCAAAAGATGATATCATAACCATTTATCGGTCTATTTTGTACTATATATTGCCGTGATGTAAGACTTGAAGAGACTTTCAAAAAACTGAATTCACACCTGTAATATTTGCATACACATGTGTGTATAACGAAAATAAAAAATACCGTACGTTTATAGCAGCAGCAATTATCACAAAAAGAATGTAATTTAACCAACATTAGAGTTTATCTGGTAATTACAACGAGATACGGGTATCAAACTGTTTACAATGCTGTTGGCATAGAAATTAACAATAATAGTACAACAAAAACTAGGAAATAAAAACACAATGAATGCTTTATCTTTAATATATATGTATGCAACTTCGGTAATTTTAAGGCATTGAATTAAATTCAATTAACAAAAACAATTAATTAAATTTTTAATGAAATGTTAAATAAATTACCGGTAGATATAAATTGTAAAAGAGGCTATTTCAGTATTATGTTGCGCTAAATTTGCTAACGTTTGGTTTCCTCTACCCCCACATCGCAATTTGTTACATAATTAACGACTCTCCTTACAACATTTTCGATTCTTCTCATTTTTCTACTTTATAGAAATAGTATGATAAACATCTTAGTTCGAAAATATAAACTAATCAAAATAGAGATTCACTTATAGCGAGAAGGAAATTTAAAAAGTCGTTTATAACGATCTCTTGCTTATAACGAAGAATATGTTCGACTATAACGAATTAACTACTTGTCGAAAACGAATTACAATAGGTCGTATGTTATCGCCTATAATGACCATTCGTATACAACGAACTAGTTTCATTTTAAATTTCTAACTATTAAATAGAAACAAGAAAGCAAACTGTGTTGTGATTTTAGAGAAAACTTCTCACAAACCTTGATAACAAAATTAAAATTATTCGCACTATCAGTTACGATCTTACCCTATCACATACTTGATTATGAAATAAGATCATAAATCAAATCCCTAAGCATATGTACTGTATATTAAAATATTAATTACAGTAAAGTTTATTAGATTGAAAAAGAAATTCTTGTACCAGGTATTGGGTATAATCGTTATCCATTACACGCATAGTGTAGAAGGTACTGGTTCGAAGTAGAACTAATTTTGTTTTAAAATAAGTAGATCGCAATTATCAAATGTATTTTACAGAATTTCACCGTAAGGCACGACCTGGTACCTGAACTTGTTAGAAACTTAAATGTTTAATTCGAGATAGGTGGGTACAGACGTTTTTCATTTTCTCTGGTCGCATTTTATTTTTGGTGGCTGTAGAGCCTTGAAGTTAAAGTGACTAATCATTATGTTGATGCCAAATTTTAAGGTCTTTCGGACCTACGACATCGGTTACTGTGAGTTTCTTATCTTTATCGTTTATTTTGAAAATTAATTTCCTTTTGGGAATTATCAGAANAAGTATATCGCACTTTTATTTTTATAAAAATTTACTGTTAAAAGTGTTTTTGGCACAAAATGGAAATAAATTAATACTATATATTCACAACAAATAAGAAAGAATTTATTATGGTTGAACTAAAAAAAATCTTTCGATAATAAATGTAAAATAAATAGCGTCGCATTTTTTTTAATTTTATAGATTTGGGCTCGCTACATGTATATCTATTCTATTTACAACAAAATAAGAATAAACCAAATCGATACAAAGCCAATTTGATGTATACTGATAAGATAATATATTATTGTTTATGCTTAGAAGTACAGTTGTTATGAAACATTATTTTAGAATAAAGTTCAGTAGCATTTCGGAATGAGACTTGTGGGTTATCGGACAAATTGGTTGTACAGTTTTATTAAACAGATTGCACTATATTAGACCATTTACATAACGACTTAAATACAGGTGAAATTAAAGCAAACGTTAATCATTTCTAATTAAGTTAGATTTTCAACTTTTCTGTACTTTTTCTGTACTATCATAAACCAAAGCTGACAGATAGATATTTTACGTATTAGGCGAAATATCTTATCGTTTCTATTATCAGTTATTTTTATTTTTCAATGAAACAAAAGTCAATTAATTTGGGCTAACAATTTAGTTTTAATTTCTAGAAAAATACTTGTACCATTTGATAATTTCCAAAATTACAAGACATATTTTCCGTTTCAGTTTTTCAATCTGACATATTGAGTAATTTGCAGTTAAAAATGAAATCAATTAGTCAAACAGTAAAAAGCTTGTATTGGTTTATCGGATTGTAAAACTGTAAATGGAAATAATTTTTAAAATGGTTAAAATGGTATTGCATGATTTTTGTATAACCAAAAATTATTTTTAATGATTAAACGATTGTTAATAACACTAGCTACGGTACGGTTCCAATGAGAATAAGTCGTTACACCCTGTGTACTACATTTTGCTGCATCTAAATGTCATTGCTTATATTTTAGTTGAATGAAACCCAATAAAAGTCAGTAGGATACGTGCCAGGAATTGAAACTAATACACAGGCAATGTTAACCGATCCAATGGTACGGCGGGTTTTATTTGTGAAAAAAAGATCTATTGAGTTTTACTAAGGATTCGATAATCGTTATTAGAAACGCGATTAATCATAATATTGCTTTATCTATTTTAGAATTCCGGAAATTTCTAGGATTCCTTACCAGATTAGAAAACAGCAAAACTGTTTTATCAGAAATTTGCCAATAATTTTAATGAAATCTTTAATAATAATTATTTCGTTGGTCGTTTTACAGTACTACTTTCAGAATTTTGCATTTCATAAGTCTTTAATGTTTAGGTATCATGACATCACGCCAGTTTGTGGATAAGAATTGATTCCTAATAATTTTGGAAGATAAGACTATCAACTTAATGCATCCTCTGTTTGTGTTCCTTACAAAATGAGAGATATCCACATTTAGTATATCAAGTGATAAGAACTACGACCCCATTGGGCCTACATGAGGTCAGAATCCATCTAATATTCCGTCAATTAGGACCAGATTCAATTTCAAATCGATTCACCGTTTTTCTTCTTTATCTGGGCAATTACTTATAGAAAGAAGTTAACGAATTCGATCCATCTACAAGAAATGTATCAAAAATAACTTAGTTCCATAACTTGTGCATTACGGATAAACAAAGGGATGTTTTCGACATATTTTTGATGATTACAAGTTGGTTTACAATAGTAGCCGCGTGCCTGATTCATCCTGAAGTCTTGTGTGATACAATGGTTTTAAATTAAATAGTCCACCAGCACATTTAGCCATTAACATAATATCGCTAGGTGCGGCAAAATTGAAAAATTATATACTTGAGATCATCAGATAGAAAGATTAAGGGGCTTGGCAAATTGTAACAAGACTTAATACGTCTAACAAAGTTAGAACACAGTTTGAAAATATACTTCATCTATTTTACAACCTGTAATTAATTTTTATTTATTGTCAGACCATTAACAATTATTTATTTGAATGTTGTACTGTGCCATCTTTGGTCGAATGTGAAAATATTTTCAGGATATTGATCAATAAACTAGTTTGAAATAAAAACTGTTGGTGTCTCTACTACAATATACTGTTTGTGCTGTTTGAGTACGAAAAAATATTGCGGGAAATCTAATAGTAAAAATAACTAGTTCAATACAAATTAAAATGAAATGGTTTACCACTAAGTTTAATTTTTAAACAAATGTGTAATACTCATAATTTTATCATCATAAAGTCGTCAGTCCTAAGACTGGTTGGACACGTACCTCCACTCTTTCCTATCCTGAGCTAAACTTCGCATTTCCCTAAAACTAGAACAACCCACATCCTTAACTATTTGCGAACAGTAATCTAACCTAAATCTACCTCTACCCCTCCTAACTCCTGTTTCTGCCTCTAATATGTCTCTGACTGTACCTTTATGCCTGAGAAGGTGTCCTACCAACCTATCTCGCCTATTTTTTTTCTAATACCTCTTCATATCTAACCTTTTCTTTTCCGCCGCGCCCACCGTCCATGTTTCGCACCCGTACGACGCCGCGCTCCAAACATACACCTTTAACAATCTTTTTCGAATTTCTAAATTAACCGTTCGAGTAATTAATGTATATAAAGAATTATTTGTTAAAAATCATGATCAGCCCATAGAGGACAATTGACGCCTCATCTTCACTGTTATGTTAATGTCTAATGTCTAATCAAGTATAACTTATAGTACTGTTACAAACTAATGATAAAATATGTCGTAACGTCTTATTATTATTATTAGTTAATTAGATCAGTTAATTATTATTCAATTTGTAATAAAAAGTACCTAAGTGATTGTAATTGATTTTCAGCTTTAAAGTATAACAATTTGTTGTTACATGAAGATTTATTGTTTTCTTTTTGCGTAACCTTATAGTTTTATATAATATTTATCTAGTAGCATCGCATTATGTTAGGGTAGAATCGGGTAGTTTCCAAGATCGATGGATTTGCGTCAGCGCGACTCTGAACCTCTAACATCACCTAGATGGAATTATTGTTATTTGTTGTAATAGTACTGTTTAAGCTGAACTAGGTATCAGGTAACTTGGCACGCACGCACGTTTAGCACTTTCAAAATGCTTCTAATAGTGTCATTAATTTAACTATTTGACACTCACGCCGAGCTTCAATAAATAGTATAACTAGCACCGTTTTCATATTTTCATTTGTAATCCATTTCCATTTCGAACACCAATAACAAAAAAAAGTTTTCACGTCATAAAACAAATTATAACAATGTATAAATATTCATATATTGTTTTTCATTTTTTTTCTCAGTTATTTTAATGTGAAACGCAAAATTGTAATATAATTGGCATAAAAAGTAAAATAAAAAAATTAATTATTTTGTAGTAATCAATTGAGAACTGTTTTGGTAAAAATCTTTCTATTTCCCAACAACAATCCGATGTTTCAGTCATCTGTTTTTGACTTCATCAAGGTATTTGTAATGTTAGATAATACTAATATATAATAAAAGTAACAAATACCTCGTTAAAACTCAAAACGAGATCAGAACAATATCGGAATAGTGAAAAACTGGAAAACAATGATTATTATTTATTGTTATTGTTGTTGCTTGATCATCTTGAGGTGAAGCATACCAAAATACTTCTGCGTAAAATTTCCTAATATGACGTTAAATTTGAGTTTTTGTTTACGGTAGAATGTATGATTCTATATCAAAATATCACAATTTATGATTGTCGTAAAAATTAATTAATGCATGTAAGCAATTATAATAGGTACAACTTAATAGCTGTCTGCAAATGTACAAGAAAGTAAATTTTATTAAACAAGAAATGAGAAATGGCTTTACATTTGTGTATCTAAATGTCTTAAGAAATTAAAACGCCATAAATGATGTAATTGTTCCTGGGATTTAACAAAAAAAATTAGGGTAATTAGTCGCAGGGTAGTGGCCGAGTTGAATATAAGGACCTTGAAGTATTTTTTTTAAGTGTGACGTAAATATTAGACTTTCACACACATATATGCATGTATCTTATGAAAACGTAAGGAATTTTCACAATCAATTTTCGGTCAGATTTAGAAAATAATCTAATAGTCAATAACTATTACAATATTTATAACAAAATTAAACACAAAAATTATATACAACTTTACCCTACATGGTATCGATTCTACACTAAAATTGTGAGGAAAACCTAGGCAAGAAAATGGAAACTATTTCCATAAATAGTAACATTTACACATAAAATTGAGAAAAATTATTATTTTAAACGGTCTAATACAATAAAATAAGCATGTAGTTTAAAATTAAACTGCATAATTCAAAAGGCAGTGGTAGAGTTAGTTAATAAATGCAAAATAAAAAACAACTAATGATCTCATGTTTGACTTTAATACCGTATTTTTTCCAACCGTAAGAGATTACTGAATACAGCACGCACATTTTCTTTTTAAACAACGCATATTGCGTGAGACCATAATTCTGATACCTTCCCCTTTTCAAAATCTGCATTGTACAGACCTAAACATTTTTTAGAAACGCAAGCAGTTACAACAATGTGTTTTTTTCACTTTCTTAATAAAGAAAATGAAAGAGTCAAGGAATTTTCCAATTAACTTAAAACATTAGCAATAAAATGGACGTATTTGTAACGATAATAATAATATGCATAATAATGCTTGGTACTAATTGTACTGGATATTTTGTGTACCTTTGTATTAATAATTAACTAATATACCTTTACATAATGTAAATAAAGTCATATACTATTTAATTATCTACCAATCTTAAGATCCAGAGCTTTGAAGACGCAACTACTAATACAACAACTTCTAGTACAATAGGACTTTATTTTATTACAGTTTAAATGAATTAAAAGTAACAAAAATTAATAAAAAGGAGATTTTACCTTAAATAGTCTAATTCCAATTTGCCTTACGTCAACACTATGCATATTAAAAGTCCGTTAAATAATTTATTATTAAATTGCACAATTCAAAAGTTTTTAATTCACAATTTACTGAACACAATAAATAAATAATTACGGCTATTTTATAACATGCTTTCTATTTCACGATCCGTCTTGAACTAACAGAATTGTGGATGTTAAAGATAAGTTGTTAACTTACTCGCAAAACTGATAGTTTTTATACACATTCTTGTATCAGATAAGTTTTTTGCATGACTTTTGCTGGACACGTCTGTAACACTGCCGTCGTTTCAACGGAAACGTTAAAAAACATCACATACACGAATATAAAATTATTATGTTAAAATATAAAGAAAATATAGATTAATATTTGTGAAATAATGCACAAATATCAATTGATATTCGGTACAATATTTATTAGTAAAACTATATGACTTTGATCCTTGATATTGATTTTGATTCTTTAGATTTGGTTTCGATCTTGTTCATATTAGCTGCATTTTATGTCAGTATAAATACATTAGATTTTGAGTTCAATATCATATCTACTGATTTAGACTTTGTTATAATAATTTTAATACTGTCTGTAGTAGAACGCTGGTATAGTCTTGGCTTATATTCCATTTAAAGGTTTAATTTTACAATAAATTCAGATTTGTTCATATTTGCAACATCTTGAATATAAAATTACAATATTTGTTCTGATCTTACATATTAAGTAGATAATGCGTTTTCAAGTTAAATTTTGAGATGTAGAACCAAGACTAGAACCACAAAAGTAAAAGATTTATGTTTTTGTATTAAAGTCAACATACAAACGAATTTTGTCTGTTCTGATTATTTATTTATATTAAAATAATATTCAGTAACTGATTTAATGTTGGATGTTGTAAAGCTGTTAATAGTTGGACGAAAGTGGGACAAAACAGAGCCTTCGTGTTTGGGCCTAACTTAAAATGCTTATCGCGTTAAATTGTTAGGCTAATTATTCAGAAAACCGCTTGCAATTACTGAATTGTTGTGCTAACTAGCATTTTGTAGGCAATTTATTTTTTGGCAACCAATGCGGACATTCCACCAGCTTTCTACTCAAACCCTTTCCACGAATTACTTAACGTACCCGTAAAATATTAGCTAGTAGCTTATTAAATAATATTGAAATTTATTATTTTTAAAATTTTGCCCCCCTTCCCTACAAAAAGATATTACAGATGTATCTAACATGTAAAAAGGAAAAGTGTTTTATTTAAATTTTCATTAATACGAATATGTAAGAATAAATATGATACCGGGATTTCCAGGATCAAGAACAAGAGCAAGCCTAATATTTAACCAAATAGTACAAGTGATTGTCTCATTTGTACAATTTATTTTGATTTTTAATCAGGGAGCTTCCCTACTTTCTATTTTTTTTCTTCTTAAATTCGTTTTCCAGATAACTGAAGCGAAATTTTTCTTTCATTTTTGTAAGATTGCTTAAGTTTCTAAATCTTGAATTACTTTTGTAATTAATAGTAAACATTATCATCACTGCTTTGCTTTGCGGCTGATATCTACACGACCAAATTAATTGCAACAAACAATATTATTACAACTACTTTTGCCTTATAATTTAGGAAAATTGGGATAAAATGTCGGAAAATGTAATGCCGGAATCTGCTACATTCTCATCCAACATGGTAAGAAATTTATAAGTAAAGAATATAAAACATTTAATTAAAGAGCTACAACTTCTACCACTCTTTATCGCTACATCAAATAATATTTTTTCAAGTTTCTCCAATAAAGAAAAATAGTACATAGACTAGCAGCATTCAATCATGTAATAATGCTTCATTTGCTGTTAAGTTCACAAAACGCGGTTGTTGAATTGAAACATGACCCTTATATTCACAGTTTGCAATAGGTTTTTGAGAATAAATCATGCAATATTTCGATAAATGCGTTCCGAAATTATTGGCACATGTCTCATAAAATGAAAAAGAATTGACTTGGAGATTTTCTAACCTGGTACGGACCTCACCTGTCACACCCTATCAAACCGTTTCGTGCATATTTAATGTCGATTTCCAAAGACAAATGTTATATCTCTGCTAATAACTGACAAAATAACAAAAATCAATAACTTGAAGATTCTTGACGAATTACTCAACTGTAAATATTGTAATAGACGTTAATACAGAAAGTCATAAACGGCCTTCCCAAAAAAATACTCATTTAAATTCTAATTGCTCTTTAATTCTTCTTGAGTACACTACCTTTTGATGGATAAAAATAATTAACTCCTCTAGGGTGAGAATAGAAATGTACCACCGTCTAATCTGGTACCAAGAACACCTCCTGTAGGTTTTCAGCAGCCTCAACGTCCCCAATTTGATAATCAACCGCCTCGATCTCCTCAGCCTCGATTTCCTCCAAATTCTTCCCCTCGCTTTGCCGCGAGGGCTCCAGAGTTTCAGCAGAGGCCACCGTTCCCTCCTCCTCAACAACAACAGCAACAATTAAACCAAGATCCAAGAATAAGATTCCCTACTCAAAGCCCAATTCTTCAACGTCCTCCAGCTTTTGGACCTAGTGGAGGAAGACCACCAGGACCTATCGGACAAAGACCTGGATCTGCCACTATAAGACCACTTCTGCCACAAGATCCCAGTTATAAACCCCAAAATGCCGATCCCAAAGGGAATTTAAATGGCGATATTCCTAAGCCACCGAATTTAAATACAGTTACTAACAATCCCAGAGAAAGTGTTGACAAAATGGAAGAAAAACTCAACAGACGTAACGAAGAACTCAAAAATCAAACACCTGTCAAACAAGACGATGGAATATTCATTCAAAATTCAGAAAAAGAGCTGGCCACAAACGTAAACAAAATTCGTGAGGGAATAGCTGAGAGATCATATCAAAGACAGCAGTCTTTGAATCCAACACCAGAAAATCGTAAGGCAGATGAATCCCGCAAGGAGCTCCATAAGTCAATGTCACTAGTTCAAGAACCAGACGATGCCTTGTCGAACCAAAATCAAAAGTCGAATAACCATTCTTCAAGAAATTCAACTAGAACTGAAATCAAAGATCATTTCAGTCCAAGTAAACAACAGGAAGATAGAAAGAATGACAGTGATTCTCTCCAATCCAAAAACGACTCACAAAAATTATCCGAGGTACTTATAAAGGAACCAAAACAACCCGAAGATCCTTCCACTGAAGTCCCAAAAACCATGCCATTAAAAGAAGAACACAAAAAAAGTATGGATGATTTAAAATCCTCGCAACAACCAGATAAATCTAAAATCATACATCAAACTTCAGTTGAAGTTAAGGATAAAACAAGACCTCAAAGTGGCGCAGTTATTGAATCGCTGAAGAAAAATGAAAACATAAGTGACACCGAAGAATTTTTCAAACGAAAAGACGAACATAAACCAGCAAGCAGAGAAGATAACGAAACTTACAGACGAAAAGATGATCATTTCAGACCTCCAAGTCGAGGAGACACTACTGATTCATCCAAAAGAAAAGATGACCTTTTAATTAAACAAAAGGACGATCCCAAAGGTACTCATAACAAGTTAACATCAGAACTTTCAAAACAAAAAGAAGATTCCCGTCCATCCAGCAGGAGTTCAGAGGAGCCACCTAAAAAAGGGAACGTTACACGACCCTCAAGCAGACCATCCAGCCGTTTATCAACTGCGGCAGAAGAAAAGGGAAAACTTCCAACAGGAAAAGGTTCAGAAGGATTTTCTCCAGAAAAAAAGACAAAAATAGAAATAACCGTTCCATCACCTGAAAGAAACCAAACCAAACATAAACCAACTATTGAAAAATATGAAAAGCACGTAGCGCAAAGGCCAACTTCTTTACGTAGATCTGATAGTTATAAAAATTCCATGGGTTCTACCAATTTATTAAAACCAGGTTAAAACTAATTATTTCTGGTTAATTATAAAAGAAAGCTAATTACTGTTTCTTTTCATTTCGCAGATGGAGACAATGACAGTGGGGTGGACGAATCAACCCAAGGAAACGTGAGTACCTGCTCTTTGTGTTTATACCTATAGGTGGGACGTTTAAAATTGGCATGGTTCGCAATAAAACTGTCGCATTTACTTTCTTCTTTCAATTTACTGACTAAACTAGAGCGGCTGCTGAGAGAACGCGTACTTTTACTCACAAAAACGTTGTAGGGAACATTGTGAACAGAAAAGAGATGCCAGGTAGGAATTGCAGCGAACACTAATTGGATTTTAAAGAAAATTCAACATTCTCAGCGATTTAGAAATGTAAAGACGCCTGTCTAAAGGTATAATTCTAACCAAGGAATTATAAAGTCAACCCTTATCTTTTGCCTACCTAAGCAACCTTTAACCCCTCACCGCTTAGTGTTATTTGGTTATCTCTTTTCACTTAGTCTGTACTCCTCATTAAGCATCTCCTAACTTAACAATGGCGTGTTCAAAACGCTACAAATGACTACAGCCCCAAGTAGAAACAAGAATGAAAATCTTCTATACTAACCTATAATTTATTGAGGACTTTGCCAATTTTGATCGTCTGTATGGTATGTGTTATACACAGGATAATCCTAAGCTGGCCTGAATGTGATTATAAGTGATAAAACTATTGATTCTAGCACGGTTTACATACGTTCTACTTTTCATAAAGGGTCAGGGAATGTTGTGTCTAATACAAAGTTAAATTCTATTTCCTATTCAGCACCTACGACTACCAACATAATACGAGGGTGGATTGATAAGTTTCCGGCCTAACCAAGAGATGACGCCACTAGGCCTACCTTGAGGTGACATTCTATAGTACCATCCTTGGATAGCTTGTAGCTATAGTTTCAGCCCGATCTCCTTGCTAGTGTAGGTTTGACAGCACGCTGAACAAGACGCCTCTGTGGTTTTCGTAAAAATGGAAAAGCAGGAAAATCNCTAGCACGGTTTACATACGTTCTACTTTTCATAAAGGGTCAGGGAATGTTGTGTCTAATACAAAGTTAAATTCTATTTCCTATTCAGCACCTACGACTACCAACATAATAGACTACCACAAAGAAAACAATATCATAAATTTGATTTACTAACTAAATTTTATGAGTTACACAAGTAAATGCTTTACTATACAAATTTAATTTAATTTGTGATAGGTATTTCTTATTTTAATTATTGTTAAAATATATTTAATACCGAAACAAATATTAACTAATTATGGGTTTTAAATAATTTTAGAACACCTATTTCTAAAATGATTTGCTATTTTGTTTAGCTTATAAGGACAAATTAATAAGTTCGTATTTTTATTTATATTTTTAAAATTATTGTCCTTACAATTAAGCATGCACCATGTATTTTAAAGGACACAAGGAATACTGATAATCATCACAAGTCAAATAAGAAGTCATCCAAAATTCCTAGTCCAAAGGCATCTTCAACCCCAACAAAAGAAAAGAGTATCGTTAAAGGAAGCAAATCACCCAGTTTAAAAAGTCCCGGGGATGTTTCGGGAGCAACAACTCCAGGAGGTTCGGAAAAAAAGAGTGAGTAACACAAGAATATACTAAAAACTCTTACAACAATACAATGAGGTAATGAATAATCAATATGGCTGTTACCCGCCATATTGATTATTCTAATGCCATCTATGTATTTTATTCTAACTATGTCTAAATAGTTTTCAAATTTATATTCTTTTGCGGTTTTAGAGGTACCAATGAACAAAGTCCAGGTGGGATCAGCCCCTTCGCCTAATTTAAAGGAAGTAAAATCAAAAATAGGTTCATTAAGTAACGCCAGCTATAAACCAGGTGGCGGGCAAGTGAAAATAGAAAACAGAAAGTTGAATTTTGAAGCAAAACCAAAGATAGCTGCAAAAAATGAAGCGTATGTTCCACATGGCGGCGAAAAGAAGGTAAAAATTCGATCACATTAACGACAGTGTACTAATCCTTAACATTTCTCTTGCAGATTATTAGTCAAAAATTACAGTGGAACGCTAAGTCGAAAATAGGTTCTCTAGAAAATGCGACTCACAAACCAAAAGGCGGTGACAAAAAAATCGAGTCTGTGAAATTAGATTTTAAGGAAAAGGCAAAGCCAAAAGTTGGTTCAAAGGACAATATGAAATACGTACCAGGAGGGGGAGACATCAAGGTACAATTTATTACGTTCTTTACGAAAAACAAATTACTTTTTTGCGTATAAGTAGATAATACCTAGTAGTAGAATTCATGAACGCAATAGTTTAAAGAAAAAGATAACTTTTAGTAAACTATTAGTAGGAATTACCTTGAAATGCAAACTCTGCCTGATTATTGCTTATCCTTATCAAACATATCAACTATTTCCAATTTTAACTGAGTGCCCCTTTACGTATTATGTTAATTTATTAAAAGTAGCTTCGTTCTACATAATTTGCATGTTTCAAACATAACCATTTATATATATGTAAAACATTTCAGAAGAAAGAAGACGTAAACGTAAGTAATTTTACATATTTATCAGAACACATACAAAGCGTTTCACAGAAGTACCTTTTGCAAAATTAAATGCTATATATGTAAGTGTGTATGGTGTTCAAAAGTGGCTTAAAAACTTATAACTTTAGTCAATGATAAAAACTTAATTGCTAGTTTATTAAAAAACAACCGAAAACAGAGGCATTTATCTATACATTTTCCCAAAGCAAACAAAAGACATTTTTGAAAATCTCAAGCACATATTAGATATTACGTTTGTTCACGAAGCTTTTTTGAAAATACTCTATTAAATTGGAAATGTACCTAATTTTGACTTTATTATCACAAAAATTTTTGCAACATGCTTTGTTCACCAAGGCACACCACAATTACTGTAATTAGGCTTTTTTTCACGACTTCACCTTACAATGAACACTTTCGTAGTTTTTCTATATAAAAATTTACACCAACTTTACGCAAGTAATGTTCTTGTAAATAAATGTAATGTACATAAAAATAATTTCGTTTTTGGGGGCACAGATTGAAAATAAGAAGCTTGATATAAAGGCACAAAGTAAAGTTGGTTCACTTGACAATGTAAAACACAGACCTGGTGGCGGAGAGAAAAAGATTTTTGACGATAAAGACTACATTAGGCAAATGTCTGGGAATTCCCTAACAACTTCTTTAACCAATTCACAGGTAAGATGGTTATAACTTTCGATAATTATTCAATTTTTCAATCAATTCGGAAAATAAGGCAACAGTCCTCTGTTTTCCTAAGAATTGACGTTTAGAGTAATCTTGTATCTACTCTAGGGTGGTCGTTAAATATTAAGTTTTTTCGGACGCCCAAAAAAATCCTTCCTTTTGACGAAAAACTACGGGAAAAATTTTGCGTTTTGATTTTTAACAAAAAGAACACGTACCGACGGCCAATTGAAGTTCATTTTTCGCTAAAATTATAGTTTTTTGGAATATTTGTCACAGTATTT